TTTTGGAGAACATCAGAGAGTGTGGTTCTTGTCAAGCCTTCCATCCATAAAAGACAGAGAATACTGTCAAACAGGTTATTGAGGGCAGGGAATAAGAAAAATTCAAGGAAGAACATGGTTGTGAGAATGAGTGACTGAAAGCTGATTCTTATCCAAAAACTTTTCAGTGTATTGAAAGAAACCAGCTGCTACAATCTGTATTTCTTATTGTGCTAAGAGAAGAAATAGATAAGTGATTTTTAGGCGAGAAGCTCTGATCAGTCTTGCTCCATGTAAGCTCTATTTTCTTCCCTGCAAAATAAGAGTAGGGAAGCAGAGAATAAGCTCAAATAGCTGACTTGTGAATAGAAATTACAGGTACACGTGTTCTCTCCAGCAGAGGTATACTGAATAACCTTGAAGAAGGTATCTCATATCCAAGCTGAGAGATGCAGTTTTTGTTCCTAAAGTATACACTTCTTACACAACTGGTTGACAGACGTGACTGACATTTTTATTTTGTATTTGATCTGTCTCTGTAGTTCTTTGTCGGGTCTTTTGAGTTTTGACTGTGGTCTGTGAGCTCTGTTGCAGAGGGTATACAGGTATTAAGTTGGTGAGGCCTTTCCAAGACTTCTGCTTTCAATGGAAAGCTCAAATAGGTAATAAAATTTTATCTATGCAAATTCTATAGTCTGTTAAATATAAATTATCTGCAAATGTGTCCATTAATTTACATAAATAGCTTTATGATATGCTATACAGAGTCATAGATTTTAACTTTTTCAGCAGAAATAATGTTTTCAACAGAGGCAATCTCTGTCATCTTAATTTAATCAATCTTCTCAGTCTCATATTTGCATTTTAGTTGAAGAGATAAAACTATATTACCATCCCAAAACTGCTGAAGAGTTTATGAATTGTCTCAGATCACTGCTTACTATTAAGAGGTCAAACTTTACTATGCTTAAGACCTGAAAGACGAGGAGAAGGAGTTTCTGAACATTTGAAGAGGAGTAGTCCTAGTTTTTAATTAAATTGGGCTGCAGTGGGTATATCCTCCAAAATCTGCCTGGGAGGGCTTCCACAGGTTAGGAATTGAACTAAATTAATTTATTTGGAGGCAAAGAAAGGCAGTGAAGCAGCAGAGAACTCTGTGAAACCAATTGGCAGCGAGCCATCTGTTAAGCAACCACAACTACGTCAAAGATATCTAAAAATATATCACTTGATTTGGGAACATAATGCCCTAGCTCCAATAAAAAGGCACTTTGAAAACAATCAAAAACGTGTTTTAAAATAAATTGTGTTTATTCATATAGCAATGAAATTTAAAAACTGCTCTCATAGACATTGTGAGTAATAGTCTATGAGACTATTTTCCTGAATAGTTCCATGAAATAATTATTTAATTGTCAGTCTGCACATCTCTCTGGAGTAGAAACTGCTGTTTTATTTCTGTCCCATTGTCTCTCTCCCTGGTCCCCCCACAGCCTGACACCTCTATCATGTCCTGTCTTCCTTTTTGCTTCTTCTGAATTTCTCCCTCACGTATTGTCCATCCAAGCCACCTTGTGCAGTCTTATTTCCATCCCACTCACTTCATTCACTTGCCCTTGCTCTTCTCATCTCTGCCCTTCGGACAATCCTGCTGCAGGGTTCCTCTCAGTAACTCTTCCTTTCTACTTAGGCTTCCTTCTTCCCACATTCCTTTCTCCCATCTAAACTACAAACCTCTCCTTTCTTTGCAACCTCCAAACGGGCCTTCCTGTCTCTCTCCTAAACTCTTGCTTTCACCTTCAAGTGCTTCCGCTGCTATGGAACCCCTGTCTTCCACCTCCACCTTGTATGTATCTGTCCTCTTTGCACTACCACCTTACGTGGGAGAAACCGGGTACACTTCCTTGCTGTCATTTTAGTATTTTACGCAAATTTATATAGTCATCAGCTTCAGGTTTGAGAAATTGGTGTATAGCTTCAATCCTGATGAAGGCATCAGTGTGACAGCTCTGAATGAAATCTCATCATCATTTTGTCCTGCTTCTGCCCACGTAGTAGTGTCGTCATCGCTGTTGTAAGAGAGCCAGGAGCAACAGCCTTGATTTGTGATTCATTTTGTGCCAACGCTATGGCCCCCTGCAGCAGGCGAAAGCTGGCTGATGGTGAAAATATTAAGAAAAAATTACCCATGAAACAGTTTAACAATCTTAATTCAGGCTTGCTAAAGCGCTGGTAAAACGTGAAGGTGCCGAGTTGCTAATTCTTTAGCAGTTTGCATGCAGGTAGGTGTTGGTACCAGACAGTTAACTCCTGAGCTGGACACAGTTGAAAATCTAGTTTTGTCATCTCTCTCCCACCTTCCTTCAAACCTGAAAGAAGTATTAGAAAACCTGGCACTTTGGTACATTGTTAGGTGAAACAAAGAGTTGTTACAGATAGACACCAAGTATCTTCAGATCACTGCAGCACTGCTATATTAATTCACATATGTATAGGTAATTAAGAGTGTACTTCCCAGTGTGATGGTGATTTCAGTTCCTGTACACTGCACATTTTAAGTGGTGTTATTTGAGGACATCCCAAGAGTGGACTTTCCAGCAGCTGATTTCAAGCGCAGATGTCACTGTAAAAGTTGTTTACTTAGCAGCAGCCTTTTTTGGTTGCATCCATCCAGTCAGGCTGCAAATATGAAACCAGGAAACATTCCCCTGTTTGTAGAAGTCTGCCTGCAGTAATAAATATAAGCATATATATTTTGAAACAAGTATTTTTAGAAACTTCTATTGAGGGCTGTACTGCTGTTTGGACTTTCTGCCCTTTCAGATTTTATTGCTTAGTCTATACATTTTTAATAATCACATTGCCTGCTAGCAGTGACATTTTGTGAAGGTCATTTTTCTTGTGAAGTTGGAGAATGGACTTGAATTTCATTGAAGGACTCCCTGAGCTGCAGGATCATTGTTTATGGAAATCTTTTGCATCTTGTACTACCTTTGAAGCCTCTTTAGAATTTTAACTAATGATATCTTCAAAGTGCTCAAGGGCAAAAAAAGAAATCTCAAAATGCCTTTTATTTTAAAACAGGTTTTGAATATCTTTGAAGCATGGTATTAGCTGAAAAAATGCATAAATACAGACTTACTATGTATGCACACACAGAGAATTCCGTGTTTCACCAACTTTTTCATTGTCAGCAAATTGTCCCTTCACCACTGCAATGCCTTTTTCTACTATCATACAAAAATCATCAGGTCTGTGGATAGTCTTAAGAGTTTTTAATGTGATTTGGTAATTTAATACCTCAGCAGGTACCTTAGGCAATCTCTCTCAGTGAAGAGGTTTGAGTTTTGTCTACATTATTCCTAGCGTGCTTCTCATTTCCCCTGTGTTGAAATACAGACACTGGGTTGTATATATGCCTTTTCTGTTTCTGACCAGGGAATAGTAAATACTAAAACTGACATGCTATGCTTGATATAAAAGAGGCTGTGGTGTCAGCTACAGAATTAAAATTGCTTGGTTTTGTATAAACCAAAGTTCTTGCTTCCCACAACTGAGCAAATACCAAGTTTGCTTTTTAGTAAAAGATCTGGAGGTTTACATGGTACCTGTGCCTGATGTCTTCTGATACTGACTTACTTCTTTAAAACATGTTTAATGTTAGTGACAAAGTTTGAGAATATGACCACTTGAATATCTGTACTATTCAGGAATATTTCTTTTTGGTTTTATTTATTGCTTCCTTTCAGTGTTTTAGCTAGTAGAGGACTCCTGGATCCTTCTCATAGGGATGCCATTGTGTTAATTCTGTTGTTTTCCTTCTCTGTGACTTCGTTATTCTGTTTGTAAACTAAGATCTTACAGAAGTACAAGGATGTGATTTATAATTTAATCTTTCCCACAGAATAATCTGTCTGGTTTTCTTCCATTTTGTTCTTTTGCTATATCAAACTGCCAAGAAAATTTAGCTTATTCGGAGTGTCTTATAGTTAAGATGTGCTATTCTATTTCTTTTTTGATAGCAGTACCATCAAAGTGTTGTAGTTTGGCTGGATATTTTACAATGAAATTCAGTTTTATGAGCATTGCTAACATTTTAGTTGTGCCAAATAACTTAAAATCTCGTTTCAGAACATGAAACAAGATAAAACACTGAACAGCATCTACTGTGAGGGAAATAAAGAAAGGGTAGGGCTGTAACCTGCCTTTGAGGTGTTGTATCTTAACTAAAGTTAGAGGTTGGAAGACTGGATGGATTGTGTGTTTGAGAAAATTAGTGTTAGGAAGTAAGGATGCACGGTTGTACACGTCCCAGAAAAATAATTTTCCATCTGATTCCCTGTGTAGAGAAAGGGCTAAAAAGGAAAGAATTTTCAGACTCTGCTTCCAGGCTTCTCGATGCCCATTGCATATGGACCGCTTGTGAATAAAAGCCACCAGTCTATTTGGAACTGCTGTTTTGCTGACATGATCAAAAGGGAAGGCCTCAGCCTCTGGCCATCATCATTACCATTTTACTATTTTCCTTCCTGTCTGCCTGCTACATGGGCTTCCCTTTGCAAATTTTTTTTTTTTTCCTTCTGTCTTCTGTGCAGACTGACTCACCCTTCTCATGCCTGGGAAAAATATCTGTGGGAAAATGCACAAGATTGATGAGGGAAACAAGGCAGTTACATTTGGTCTTTTCTTTGCTTATACCCAAATATTCTTTCCTTTCTGTTTGAGGGACTTCCTGTTATTTATATAGTGTTGGTTAACATTTCTTCTATATATAGTCCTGACTTAATATTTTCTATAGGAGTCTTTACAGCTGACAGTGCTTTTTCCCAACTCATTGTCTTTCCCTATTTTAGACAACAAAGAGAAAATTCTTTAACATATTTCAGTGTTGAGAATTTAGCAAGGACGTCTCTTGGCAGAAGCAAAAAAAGGAGATATTCTTACCCTAATTTTAGCTGGTTTCATATTTTTCTTGTCCTTGTACTTCTTCACTCACTTTGCTATTTAATCTTTGCTTGCAGGCCACTAAAGAAGTAATAGAGCGAGAAGCCCCAGGGATGGCCCTGGCAATGCTGATGGGATCACTTAATGTTACTCCTCTGGGCATGCTCTCTAGGTAAGGCTATTTCCTTCAAAATATGAGGTGGACTATTTCCTTAGAAATAAACATGGTCATGAAATGACTATACAGAAATAACTGACAATTGCCATTCTTATCAAGACTAGAAGTCTTAACATGAGAGAAGTGGCCAAATTCCAGGAATGGTAATTGTATTGTCTCATTTAATTCCCTTTGTTCTCCATTAGACAGTGTATCCTCTGTCATTTTTTGTATCAGTTTATTTGTAATATTGATGCAAGCTGTTAAACAGCTGTCTTTTCATCAAGAGCTATGGCATTTTGCTGGTGAGTAAAGAATTCTTCTATGTGTTGTTCATGGAGTACTAAAAATGTTTTGTTTCACGAAAAAAAAACCCTTGATAAGTACAAGTATATTATTTTGATACTGCTTTTATTGCAGTATCAGCAAAAGCTCTCTGAGTAAGTTAAATGGTATTTTATCCTATGCTTTCAGATACAATACTTTAACTCCTGGAGTTTGGTATTTCCTAGTAAGCAATTAGTACCTGTTTCTCTGCCTGTTGGTGTTTCTTTTTTATAGTTACATCTCTTGTTATCCTCTTGTTATCTTGTTTCTTTTTGGAGTTGATTTTTGTTTTATTCCTTCAGTTTATCTCCTTTTACCTGAGATAGACTTAGTAATATGAATACCTTTCATAAGTTAGTTTGTGCTTGCATGTTATTTCAAGGTAAATAAGAATCAATGACTGTTACTGATTTTGATTTCTCGGTGCATAGTGAGGATATAACAAGGAAATAATAGTATAAGAAATGAAGAAGGAACTTTCAAATCTGCAACTTTGTATTCATGTACTTGTATTTTTAAAGGACATTTCAATGAGGGGTTTAGTGATTTGATAGAGTATTTTAAAACTTTTCATATCATGTATCACATATCTGAAAGGGCAACATAAAAAAGTTAACACTTTCAAATTCTGTCCAAATTAGCAAGTTTTTATCTGATACAATTTTTTATGTCATAGTTTCGTGTTTATCTGAAGGGAAAGGATAACGGAATGCTACCATAAGGAGAGAAAATGTTAATTTAACTGTTCTATTTCTGATCAAGAAAAGGATAGCTGTTTAGATGACCATTCAAGTTTGATTTAGGATGTGGTGTGATCAGGATGGCTGAAAGGATGTTGTAATAGTCGTGGAATCAAAATGCTGGATTGCAACCTTAGTCTTCTGTATGTGTAGGAAGAAAATGTCCCTTAAACTACATCCACTTTCAGTAGTAATTGACAACAATGATGGGAGATAACATTACAAAGATTCTGCATGCAATCCAATTAGGTCTTTTAAAAATTCAGGCCTTTACTAAAATTTATTAGCATGCAAAAGTCCATTTTTTGTTACATCATTTGTTATTCCAAGACACAAATTGTTAATATCTTTTCACAGAAAGTTCTGTACATTAAGGTAGTGTTGTTATCCCCCCTTACAGTGAGAACTAAGGCACACATTAAGAGAAGTCAAAAATATACACTAATTTTAGATACACAGTTTGAGAAGTATAGATCCTAATTTTTCAAAGTATGTAACATTAAATGTCACTTATCCTAAGCTTACCTCTCATTGACTTAATTTTGAAATAAAGATCTGATGGATACTTTAGCGTGTAATTTTAACTTAAAAAAAAAAAAAAAACAAACTCAAAAGCAGAAGTTCCATTATGCAACATTATCTGACACTTCAATAAATCACCTGCAGGTTTGGAAATGTTAGGTCAATCGTGCTGAATTTTATCACATGAACTTCTAAAAATTGTTGTAAGTTACAGGCTGTCTTCCTGACTATGGGCCAGCATTAACAAATGGCGAGTTATTTTGTAGGCTGGATTCACAGACACTTACGGGCAAATGAGGGGCAGTGAGACTCTCGTAGTTTGGATTCAGTCCCAAGGTCCAACAGGAAATATCTTAGAGCATCATAAACCTTTTTATGTGTTTCCTGAAAGTGTTTCCTTTTTTTTTTTTTTTTTTTAATGTGAGTTTCCAAAACTGTCCTTGTCCCAGAATTATCTCTTCCCTTCACCTTCCTTACCTGTCAGCTACCCATGCCATGCCAGTCCTTATTGAGGCTTTTTAAAGCACTGTCCCTCTCTTTGCCCATCTAGTCTGCTTTTACCAGCATAATTTCTGCCCAGGGAGATCATGTTCTTTTTTACCAGAATCATGTTCCCCATTCCTTCTTCTGCAGCAAACCTTTCTTTTCTCCCACATCCATCTTTTTCTTTCTCCCATGTCCTGTTTTTCTTTCCTCTCCCTTGTTGCTATTTGTACTCTTCTTTGTCAGACTTTGTTTTTTCTTAAAATTTTTGTCCCCTGCATCACAAGGCTGAGGGTAATATGAGATCCACAGCATCTCCCTCAACTGTTCTACATTTGGAGGAATATCATTAATTTATCTCTCAAATTACCCAGAATGTATGCACATTTTGTGTGCTTTTATGTTGTGAGCGCATACGATATTTTTTGCAAGCCAAGCAGTTCTTAGGTGCTTTTACTTACTTTTGCATGCTCTCTTGAGAAATTTTTGGCAGCTCCATTTCGGTCTTGAGCTGATCACAATAATGTGATTATTGGCAGCTGAAACTTGTAGCTTTCAGAAGAATGGTTGCTGGTTTAGTCCTTTTTTATTATTGGTCGCTTGAACTGATCGTTTAGCTTATAAAATTCAAAATTATTTAAAGCAGAATAAAAGAACCAAAGAGAAGAACATTAAAGGAGGTATCTGCCAAATACAGTTCCACCTCATTTTAATTTCTGTGTGGATAATTCCTATTTCTTTTATTTTGAATCTGTCATAAACTGTATCCCATGCATGGGTTTTGCTGGTTTGAGTTGTAGTCTGCACATTTGACTACTGCAGCAAGAGTAAATGAGCATATTTCTTTTACTCAGGCTCTTCATCTTTGTGTTGCAGTACAGCGTTCCTCAGCTACCTGGAGTTCTTTCTTAGCTGAGGTTATATAGTGTGCAAGAAGTGAATATGGGAAGACAGAGGCCAGGAGTCAGACAATATTCTGTCAGAATAGGAGTCAGACAGTACTCTGCGTCTGGAGTACTGTGTCCAGTTCTGGGCTCCCCAGTTCAAGAAGGACAGGAAACTGCTGGGGAGGGTACTACAAAGGGCTACAAAGATGATCAGGAGCCTAGAACATCTCTCTTATGAGGAAAGGCTGAGGGATTTGGGTCTTTTTAGTCTGGAGAAGAGAAGACTGAGGGGGGATCTGATAAATGCTTAATGGGTGGGTGTCAGGAGGATGGGGCCAGTCCTTTTTCAGTGGTGCCCAGTGACAGGACAAGAGGTAATGGGCACAAACTTGTACTTAAGAAGCTCCATCTAAACATGAGAAGGAACATCGTTGCTTTGAGGGTGGCAGAGCACTGGAACAGGCTGGCCAGGGAGGTGGTGGAGTCTCCATTTCCAGAGACATTCAAAACCCGCCTGGATGCCAGCCTGTGCAACCTGCTCTAGGTGAACTTTCTCTGGTAGGGGTGTTGGACTAGATGACCTCCAAAGGTCCCTTCCAACCCTTATTGTTCTGTGATTCTGTGGTTCAAGCTGCTGATTGAAGAGGCTTCTCTTTGGACTGGCTTGACTGTGATGTCAGAAGTTCGTTTTGTAGCACAAAAACAGTCTCTGTGCTATTTAATTTAAAGCATTATGACAACTGTCACTAGAATACTTGCTACCCTGCTAGAAAATGCCACAATACCAATAAATGACATTAATCACTGAGAATTATTTCTATAAGAAGAAATCCAGGGAAGTTGGCAGCCCCACAAACTCTGTCCTATGGCTCAAATATTTTGGTATCTTGCCCTATCAAGAAATTATATTTTTTTTTCTATTGTGTCTTCACTTATGGCTCATGTTTTTGTTTGATAAAGAGATCGTTACACAATTTCTTTCAACTGTAGCTCTGTATCTTTACGGTTTAGTTTTGTCCTTTTACTTTTTTCTTATCCCTGTATCCCAGCCTTGGGGTTTCACCACTAATTTCATAAACAGTGGAGAAAAGCAGGAGACACTATTTACAACCTCAAAACAAAATCCAGTAATTTTAAATTTTTTTCTTTAAAAATATTTAGCTAAAAGGAGGAAGAGACAAACTCTAAACAGAAAGCATTCAACGCTTGGGTATCTAAGTTCAGCCCTGCATCAAAACCAAATGAATTCCCTAAAGACAAAAAATAAAATTAAAACTTCCATCTTTGATAGTTGGTTTCTTCTCTTTTTGAGGGGGAAGGAAAGACTGTTAGGAAGAATTTGACATGAATTGCTTAAGTGCAATTTTCACTTGAGAATTAGTTCCCTCTGTGCTTTTCTTATGTTGGATCTTTAAAAAACAAAGAAGACTTATTAGAATTAATGCAACCAGCATGACTTATTATTTTTACCTGGCAAGGGAAATAGTGTTTGACACCATCAATTACATTACAAAGGAATTATGTTTATGGGCAAATAGGGACTGTATGGATGCAAGTAAACAATAGAATGAAGGGACCTACACAGATCTAAAAAAGATGGAAATCTAGCCAATGTTTATACTATCAATTAAATGTTAGGATTTGTCAGCTCAGCTTCTCCTGACCTGTTATGTGAGAACATGATCAGCAAATATTTTTAGATGTCTGAAACAGAGCTTAGAAATTCTGATTAATAATAGAATTTATCTTAAATGCTCTGTTCTTGTTTCTGCACTGGAGAAAGTTGCATGCAAGAATACTCACTCTGGGTTTCTTTCTTTTCAGACCTGTGTGTGGAATCAGAGGGAAAACTCTCATAATTAATCTGCCAGGTAGCAAGAAAGGGTCACAGGTAAGAAATGTTCTTACTGATCTGCTACTGAGGACCCATGATGAGTACCTCCCTTTGTTCTGAATGTAGAAAGTACCCATTACAACAAATTTTACAAAAGTTAACTGAAATGCATATTCATACAACTGAACATACAACAACCATCACTCTGTCAGGGATGATACAATTCCCATCTGATTGAAAGGACTGTGTGACCAGGACAGAATTACATGTGATGCCAGAGCCCTCACTGTAGTAGGCAGAGCAAATGAAGAGTCTAATGGTCTCTTACACTTCTTCCTTCCTCTCTGGTCAGCTTGTACCTCGTCCCAGTGTTGCCTACATCTTCCAAGAAAGAATTCTTTCTCACACAGAAGTAATAGGGAAGGCCTAGTGTGTGGTAGAACTTCATAGAGTATGAAGACTATTCCAAATTTTTGGTAAAGAGATAAAAAAAGGAACATAATTCCTAAGAGTTTGAGGATTTTTTTAAATCTTTTGGATATGAGTATCAGACTTTTCACCTTTTAGACAGTTTGTTTTCTGCCTGCATTTTACTCAGTTTTGACAGGAAAGTTAGGCTTTATGTTTTTATTAACGCTTACTTTCTGACTGTAGAGCTGAGAGAAACACAATTAAACATCAGGAGGATCAGGAGGATTTTTGTGTGTGTGTGTATGTTAGTAAGGATGGATCTTTCCAGTTCTCACTCTGTGCAGTTGGCTGATAGATCCAGAAAAGCAGCGTTCTCCACACAAATAATTCTGAGCAAATAGTGGGCTGTACAAACCAATATAAAACTGCCAAAGTAGATCCCCCATTTATCACGAGAATGTACTTCTCCAGGACTCAGACTATGTCAGTGGCCTTGTTAAAAAATGTTTTCACCTCTGCCCTCTAACAAATGCGTACCTGGTGATTTATGAGCATCTTCTAAACCAGTAGTACCTGATCACAGAGGAGACAGTACTAATGTGTTCAGCAGCACAGCCCTGAAGTCACTAGTCACTCCCACTAGACCAGGTTGTTCAATTCATTCTTGTGACCCTGCCATCGTTTTCCAGTAATTTAATATTCATATGCATTCTGCTCAAATGACATTATTGAGGTGCCTGGGAGAAGAATGAGAGACAGTAGTCATAGATTGAAGAGAGTAGCTTCCAACTGATAAAGAGAAAAGAAAAAAAAATCACTTCAAGGGTAATTGTCAAGAAGATTTGTGAAGTCTCTGTTCTTGGGTTTTTTCAAGACTTTACAGAACACAAGAAACCTGTCTGAATTTCACACTGACCCTGATCTGAGCAGGAGCCTGCACTGTGTGGCATCCTTAGGTTCCTTTTTCGTTTGATGAAATATTAGCATATTTTAGCAGCAAAGTTAGCTATGTATGTGTATGCCCATTATGGAACAAGAACAGTTACATGGTGTCTGCATTTTTGCTTTCTCCAGCCAGGTAAAATAAAGTTTCCAATTGTTTTTAAGATCATAGAGGAAGGAGAGGATTGAAAAATAGATTATTTATGAAAAAAAAATTGAGTTAAATAAAATTATCATGAATTCCATGTAGTTTGTGATTCTTACAGTATACAGGATAAGTCCATGAATAAAAAAGGATATAATTATATAGAAGTATAACTATGAAAACCCTTATGAATTGTTCTCTAATTTTGAAGGAACATAGTAGGAATGACTTGAAGCTCATATGCCTGCAGGGATAGAGTTAATGTTTTTATTCTATTATTTTGTAGCATTCTGCCAACTGCTGTGAAATGGTTTCTGTATTATGTATTCATGAAAATTTAACTCTTGTTTCCTGAAGTTTTAATCCAATATTAGCTTAATTACAGTAGCCCTGTTGTACAACTTACTATATTTGCATGAAAAAAAGGCAAAAATGTATAGCACCCAGTTACAGTTTTGAGTTTGTTTTTCTATGTTCTGTGAGCATAAGGCATTTTAGGTTTTATTTATTGTCAGGTGAAAAGATATATCTAAATCCTGAATATCTTTTAAGAGTAAATCTGAAAAATCCCTATTTATTTCTGCAGGTGACTTTTCATAGTCGTTTCTCTTCTTGTTGTGCATAGGAATGCTTTCAGTTTATACTGCCAGCCCTACCTCACGCCATTGATCTTTTGCGGGATGCCATTGTAAAAGTAAAGGAGGTACACGACGAGCTTGAAGATCTACCTTCACCACCACCTCCTCTTTCTCCTCCTCCAACCACCAGCCCTCACAAGCAGACAGAAGACAAAGGAGTACAGTGTGAGGAAGAGGAGGAAGAGAAGAAGGATAGTGGAGTTGCTTCAACAGAGGACAGTTCTTCTTCACATATAACAGCAGCAGCCATTGCAGCTAAGGTGAGTCTGGCTTGTTTCCCTAAGAGACCCTTTAGTTTCTATCTCAGGTACTTTCCACCAATGTTCTTTTGCATGTTAAGACTATGCATTGTGTCATCAAACAGGTGTATTTTAGATACATTTTGTAGAAATGTAATTTCATAAAAATATATTAATCCTGTTTCCATAGGTGATCTCAAATTTCAGTGGGAGATTGTTTATTATCTTGATGATAACATGCGTTTTTATGATACCATTCTGATGTGACAGACATTTTTAGCTTTCTTTTTTATTAATTCAAAGTACTCACACGCCTGAACATGCAGAGTCCAGTAGGTGGCATATGAAGGAATCGGAACAAAATTTTCTAAGCCATAATACCTATTTTGAAAACAAAATGTTGGTTTCTAAAAATATTGATAAAAAGTATGACATATAGGTAGCAGGTTAAGTAATAAGCTATCCAGACTACTGCATTCCAGTGTGGATCTCTTATGCAATAAAAGATGTGAAATTCTGCTGCAAAACTAAATGTCATCACATTGTCTTTACAGCCTTGCTTTAATCAGTAATCATAGATCAACATTACTCAAACCAAAATAAGAAATTTGAGGCTACAAAAAGAAAAAAATTAGATAACATTTGCAAATTCTTTCAGTTCAAATTTTAAATGTTTTCCAAAGAAATATCATATTATTTGAAGCAATATATAAATATCTACATCAGTTTTATGTCTTCAGTTTTCAAATGGAAAGACATTGTATTCCTATGTGTTGGAAAGGCTTTTTTTCCAAACTGCTTTGTTCTATATTTACTACACAAATTGTGCTTTTAAGTCTTATTATATGAATTGAAAGTCTAAGTAACTCAAAACTATATTAAACAATTTCAAAACCAAAGCAGCAACATTCTAACTCCAGAAATGTGAATTCAGGTCTGAGACATCTTGACATTTCTAAGACAGCTGCAGCTGGAGATCATCTCCTCTTGTGCAGAAAATCCTGATTACATATATCTTTACAGGGATGAATTAAGGTAATTATGACTTGCAAGTTTCAGTTTTCATTAATGCAAATTTTAAATTAATTGATTTCTTTTGATATAGGCAAAGATAAATAATACGTGCAAGTTTTAAAGGCAGAAAATACCTGAGATCTAAACTGGCTGTGTTCATATGAGCTTGGCATTTCAGTGTCATGCTTGTTTTCACCTCATTCCCTTTCGGTCATTTGCTTGTATAGTTTCATGTTTTCCTGTCACTGTATTCATAGCTGTTATGTGTTGTGCATTAGAAGCATCCACCCTACACCAGTTCAGCTGTTATCATGGCAAAAGGTGAACAGCCCATCCCTGGTCTCATCAGTTATTGCCATCACGCAGCAGGCAGTGCAGGAGAACCGGTAAGAGACACTTCCAAGAGGCTTTTGCACTAACAGTAGCTAAAAATACACTGCCTGCCTTATAGTCTACTGTGTGAGCAGACAGTGTTACTGACTTTCTTCTAACAAAGAACATGCTTTTAGAGAACATGCTACAGAAAATAGATAAAGGGCTAAACAAGGTAAAGTTTGTGTGCGTTGTCAGTTTGAATCAGTTGACTGCTGAGATAATCATTGCTTAAAGCCTGTGTTTCTGATTAGTCATCAGCTTTATCATCTAATATACTCAATAATTGAATATAATTAAAATGATCTCCTAAAATTATTGCTTTAGAGCTATGATATTTTGGTAACTCTTCCCCCTTCATTTGCCTTGCTTTGCTGCTTTCTCTCAAGTTTGTTTGTCAACATAATACAGCATTTGGGTGTTCATAGTTTGCTTTCATCACTTGCAGTTTCTCTCTTGTTTTTGTGTTCTGTTTAGAAATATAATTTCTCAGAAACAGAAGAAAAGACTTGAGGAGTCAGGATACACTGGACTTAGTATAAATTACTGGATTTTAGTGAATAGTAGGCAACTATTTCAATGAACAGTAGAAAGGACTTCATTTATTATAATGCAGAGGTTATAACTTGGGCTCTAACAAAATACTGTACTTTATTTTCCATCTCCCAAAGGTTTAATCTAGGCTTGAATCAAGATAGAATAAGGACACAGTATCATCAGGAATAAACTTAACTTATTTTATTCATAACCGTTGGTTAGAGAAACTGGAGGAAGGCAGTTGGCCTAGAGAGAGTTGTGCTGCCTGACCCATTCATTCTGTGTCAGCCTGCAAACGGAGTGTAATTTCTTGGGAAAATATGTCACTAGATTTTGATGACCAGAGGCTGCACTTTCTTGTTCCCTTAGGCAAATAGTCATGTAAGCCATCGATCAAATAGCATTAACATCTCTGTATTTAAAACATGATGAGCATGTCTCTTGAAAAGTCACTTAGGAAGTGTGAAGGTTTTGAAGTTCATACACCTGATGATAAAGCTATATATGTGTACATACATACACACACATTTATTCCAGTAGTTTAATTTTTTTGAGCTGAGACAGCTAAACTGGAATTGCAGTTCAAGGGGGACTGGAATTGTCTCAGTCACTTTGTTGCACTAAGAGTTTTTTGTTCTGAAAAAGGTGATATTGAATAAAATTTTAGAAGCAATGATTGATGGATATGGTAGACAGGAAAAAAACAAACCAATCACCAAAGCAAATATTTGCCTGAAGGGGATGAGACAATATGTAATATCCAGTTATTCTAGAGTAACCAGAGTAAACCCAGGGAGAACTGGACCATGGTACCGTTTGACAAAGCAATATTGTATTTGTATTGTGGAATTTTGGAGTATATAGAAGAGGTAATGGACCCATACACAATCATACCAAGACATGTGCAGCTTTTTATTAGAGGAGGGGAAAGAAAAGGTGTCTTATTTGAAGACTTAAAACTATTCTTTCTTTTATTGTGTCTTTTTTTTTATTTTATTACTTTGTCAAAATGTAACATTCTACTGGATTGTCCTTAGTCATGTAGATTAAAATGAAGCATCAAAACTTGTGGGTCGTATTGAAGCTGTGCCAATATAAAACTTAGGGATGTCAGCCTTTTTTTTTTTTTTTTTATTTAACATATTTAAGATGGGATTTCAGGAGAAAAAGAGAACAGAAGGGAAATGGTGCTTCTGACTTGGACATGTTTGAGCAAGTCCAGATGAGGGCCACAGATAGGAGCGCTAGAGCACCTCTCCTATGAAAACTGAGAGAGTTGGGGTTGTTCAGCCTGGAGAAGAGAAGGTTCCAGGGAGGCCTTATAACGGCCTTTCAGTACCTGAAGGAGGCCTACAGGAGAGAAGGGGAGGGACTCTTTATCAGGGAGTGGAGCGGTAGGATGAAGGGTAACAGTTTTAAACTGAAAGAGGATAAATTTAGATTAGATATTATGAAGAATGTGGCGGAAAAAAGATGGTGAGGCACCGGGACAGGTTGCCCAGAGAAGCTGTGGGTGCCCCATCCCTGGAGTTGTTCAAGACCAGGCTGGATGGGCCTTCGAGCAACTTGGTCTGGTGGGAGGTGTCCCTGCCCATGGCAGGGGGTTGGAACTCCATGATCTTTTTAGACTTGAGTCTTAAAATTGGTCATTTTAACTGCACACAGACAAGCAACAATGCTGTCTTAGTATCCTGACACTGGTTCTAGGGATGCAACACATCTTAAAAGCTAGGATTCAAGCTTGTGTTTGCCCTAGAGTCTTACTAGGCAAGAATGTTCAAAAAGATTAGATGCAGACTCGCTACAGGATCTCCATTTAAAAAAAAACAACTGGAAATGTCTGGTGTTAGTGGTTTGGTTCATCACTGGATCTTCATTTTTTGCTTCCTTTTATTGTCTGCTAATGCTATTTCCACCAAACACTGAGGTACTTTGGTGGTTCTCTTGGAACTTGAACATCAGGCTGAACTAAGAAATTCTTAAGGAGAAGAAAGATGTTGAAATATGTGTATATCTATTCCTTCAAAGATCTGAATTCCTACATTTTCTTGTCTGTTATGATAGAAAAGTGAATTGCAGGAAGTAAGAGTAATCTGATCTGAAAAGCTTTCTCCTCTGAAAAAGGAAGAGGTTAAAATCATGAAAATAAAATCAGAATAAGCCTTTGTAGAGAGTATGTTACAGTGGAATATCTGCTGCATTTTGTGTTGTAGCACTAATGTTAGAATTCAGTTCTCCTCTCTGAGGTGTTTATCATTTGTATACCATTTATATACCATGTGTCTTACCATTTTACACAAAAAAATAAAAAAATCGTTAAACTAGGTATTAATCATTAAACTTAGGTATTTTCAGGTTCCTCAGGTGGTCACAAACCTGACCTTCTCTTACAGTGGGAGAGACTTGGCTCCCCCAGTCCCTGCCTTGAGGTTCATCAACTTGAAAGGTGTGGGGAGAACGGTTGCCAGTGACGACTGAGGCAAAAAAGTTGTTGACTACCTTAGTTTTCTCCTTGTCTGTTGTTACCAGTTCACCAGTCATGTTCATCGGGGCGGGGGGGGCGGTTGCTTTCCTAGCTGGCCTTCTAATTATGTGAAGAAAAAAAAAAAGATTGAATTTTTATTTTTCCCTTCGGAATGCATTTTTAACCAAGTATTGGCTTTGGATGGTGGTTTCTAGTGCTTTTGCCTGTACTCCCTGTGGAGAGGCCTGTAGCTTTTGCAGCACAAACCTTGCGTCAAGAATTTTTGTAGCTGAAATTGTCTTCAGTATATGTAATGAAGAGTATTTACTCACTGCATGACATTTCTTAAAAGGAATTTTCTCACTGCATGACATTTCTTCAGAGGGTTTCAGTCGTTGCTAATAAGTGGTTTTCTGTTCAGAATATTGTTGCCTAGTTAGAGAATGGGAGGCCTGGCTCCTTTCAGGCCACAGTAGAAATCCCTGTTGGTCATTGTTGGGTTTGAAACAGAGGCTTAAGAGGAAAAATGATACTTTCTTATTATTTCCTCGCATAGTATGTCAGATTCATGGGTTTTTCAGGACTTTCAGTAAGAATATGACTTTATGTATTTGCTCGGCCTATGTTACTGAAATTATGGGAGCCATTAACCACTGCCAGCACTGCAGTGAGGAGGTATGCAGTCTGAGTAGTGGGATATTCCTACATTTTTGTAAGCTTTTGAGTAAGTTTTAAATACAGTAATTTTTTTACTATTAATTCTATCTCTTCTTTTTAAGATTCCAGATTCCATCATCTCTCGTGGTGTTCAGGTGCTCCCACGTGATACAGCCTCCCTCAGTACTACTCCTTCAGAATCTCCTCGTGCCCAGGCCACCTCTCGTCTCTCCACTGCATCCTGCCCAACACCAAAAGTAAGTACATTTATGCCTTGCAAGCTCCATGCTCAGACATATAATCTACCAAAGTAATGTATTGCTGCTGCTGAACAAGGTTGGTTCGCATGCAAGGGTTGTATCATTCTAAGTAATAGATGCAAGTAAATAATATAAAAATAAATAAAATCCAAGACAGTATAGTTCATTCCATGTGTTCTGTTGCACAATTTAACATGTGGGTCCACCAACACATTATGGTTACTGAAGTTTCATGTTATTTCTTGCAATATCAGTCACGAATATGAAGTTGTTAACACATTGAATGTCTTTAATAATCCCAAGGAACGTAGATAATCCTGCCACTGAGTAACAGCATTAAGCAAGTAGCTTTTTGTCAACAAAATATATGTGCAAATTACTAGCCTGGGCTGGGGCAGTTCTGCGCCCCACTTTATTATTGTTCAGTTTAAGACACTTTCAAACCAACTGGTTTTGCTCAAACTTAGATATTTGCTGCCTGACATTTGTAAAAAAAAAAACAGCCTAAATTGAATAGAAAGAAAGTTTTAATGCCAACCTTGTGGGTTTATTATTCAGTTCTTACTGATTATGCTGTACTATTTAATCATTGAGGTGAACTCTATTATGTTCTTTTTTTTTGTCAAACTTTAAATAGCACACATCAAAAACTAAGTGAATTGACCAGTGGCAAGGCCTGTAATGTTTACTTTCTGCAGGGTTCCTTTCAGCAGAAGAAAACTCTTTCTGAATTCACTTTGTGTGTTCACATCACAAAGATCTTTCTGTGGCACCAGATGCTGACATACTAATAGACCTGTAGCAGATGGCAAATAATAGCATTCTTCCTCATCTAATTCATGATCCTTGAAGATTATTCTGCTTGCTAAAGTGATTGCCAGCATCTGCTAGTTCTTCTTTCCTGCTGTCTCATTCTTTTCTGTCAGCAAACAAGATTTATTGGCAACCACCAATAGAAATGTTTTGATTAGGCTATGGCATTGTTTTATGCAGTTCTCACCTTCACTGTGATAGATTATTCTGATGGACAGCATACTCAACTTCATTATATAGTCTACTTTTCTTAAGAAAATGTTCAGTGAATTCTACCTGTAAGCGTTTCCTTCATTTTTTTGCTAAAAAAATTGTCACTCCTCTGGCTTCAAAAAATAACAAGTTGGAGTTATTTCATTAGAATATTCAGAGCAGAAGAGCAATACAAAATGGAGAAACTTCACTGAGTTTTATGCCTGTTGACAAAACAAGAGCCTCCAAAGAAAACCGAAGGGACCAGGTATAGAAACAGAGACAGCACTGCTAAGAAATAGCTCTAGATGAAGCCTATATATTTTCAGGAAGGTTATCACAATAGGAAGGAGTAAAGCTTATCTGTTGTGAAGCAGAAAGCACTCCTCTAGACTTCAAAGATTCAGAGATTACATAAGAAAACTACAAGAACTTTGGAACAGATTAAAAATCTGAAACTCTTCTTTCTGAAATTAGTCAAGATCAGCTCTTATCATAATTGGATCATGCTTTGGTATTTCATGTTAAGCCCTATTTTTCATATATTGCTGGAAAATCAGATGTTGTTCAGAATGTGTGAGATCACACCGCTTTTACAACAGGAATTGCCATGCAACATCTAGCTAGTCTAGCTTTTCTGTGCCATCTTTCAAAAGTAGGTGGTACAAGCCAATATAGGGAAAGATCTAGGAAAGACCAACTGGAAAATAAATTTGAAGGGCGGTCTTACCTGTTCCTATTACCTAAAGGTTAGATTTTGCACAAAAGTTTAAACTTCGTTGCTACTTACAGAACTCTTAGTTCATTTTGCTTATTACTTAAAAAAAAAAAAAAAACCAAAACAAAGTACTCATTATCTTTTTGTTCAGTCCTTTTCAGGACCCTTAAATTCTCAAACATCATCTGAATTTGTCAAGAAATACGGTTCTACTCATCTTTTTGTTCAGTCCTTTTCAGGACCCTTAAATTCTCAAACATCATCTGAATTTGTCAAGAAATACGGTTCATCCATATTCTTCAAGATTGTCAATATGTCTAAATGTCTTCACTTCCTGTGTTTTTCCTTCTGGATCCTGGCTTTCTAATAATGCAGTATGAATTAAGTTTACACTGCACCCCTTGATCCACACAATAGTGAGAATAAAGTTAAATAGTACTTCAGCATCCAGTTGGTATTTCAGGGTGGGTTTTTTTTTCCTTTGTTAATCTGCAAGTGTGTATCTCTTCAATGTTCTCATTTGCTGATTTAAGAACTTATTTCAGGGCTCCAAAACATGTATATACAAAATGAAACAAAGGAGAGGAAGTTTCAGCAAAAAAATGATTTTGTTTTCTTGGAGTGGTGGTCTAGCTGTAGAGCTAGTGGCACTGTATTTCTTTGTCAACTACGTATTCCAGTTTACTTTGTTGTATCGTTTTCTTGTTGCATTTTTTTGTCCTACATGTGCATAAACCCTTACATTTCTCTTACTGAATTTGCTGAATAGCAGAAAGTTGTGTGTGTGTCTCAGGAAAAAAAAAATCAAGCTTCTACAATGATGGGAGCACCTCTATTGAATGAATGTAAGTAGGAGGTTACTAATGCATGGTGGGGGTATTGGAGAGAAGGTATGGGAGAGTGCATTACTAATACTCCTGGTTGATATGTTAGGAGAAGTCTTTACCTTTTCATAATTGTATTTTGGAAAACCTAATGTTGTTTATATACATACGCAGATCATGTAGACAATATACAACATTTAATTTTAAATTTGCTTACTGTTTATATTTATCTTCCACGTTTTCTGAAAATCTCAGTTTCTAACAAAGTAGTAAATGATGAATACTGAGTTTGAATGTGTATGTTTCTATCAGTCCTCAAAAGTTTAATTCCCTGCTAAAAGAATTAATTATATTTTTCACTGTAGCCCCTTGGGAGGTCAGAACTTCTCAAGACAAATTTCCATTAGGACTACTCTGTCTATCATTAGGTAGATCCCCAAAACTACACAAACTTGCTTTTGTTAGCTTTCAATAAATCTCCGTAGAGCACATTCCTTGTTTTCTAAATTGCACTTTAGTTTCAAGCAAGATCGACTGTGGCTCAAAGAGCATTTAAACCATATTTATAGTAGATGGATTCAGATATAGAGGCAATCTAAGTTTTACTCAGGGGAAAACTGCACTAACAGTTCTCCTTTTTTCAGTCATTCAACCATAAAGTTGATAGTGATTGTGACAGATGTTTTTATCTTCTACAATATAGTTTTTGTCTTTTTAAAGTTTTACTGCTTTCTCAACAAGGTTAGATGAATTTGCTGAATACTTGCATGACAAAAGTTTAGGATGACACAATGTGACTTGCAAGGTTTTCTTGTCATTTCCAGTAGCTGCTCAGATTCTAAGAGGTTACTAAATTTTTGTGTATGTTTGTGCCTCGCATTTTCATGAAGTTAAATGCAGTGTTCTTTTCAGATACAAAAGTAATACACTACGTAGTATAAAACACCTTTTACAAATATGGAGAATTTTTTTTTTATGTTTGCATTAATGTTGAAGCTCAGGGCTTTTTTTTTAAACTTACAGAATAAAATTTTGTTCCTGTAACTTCAGATAACTTGAAAGAATATATCCAGTGCAAATGACTGTCAGTCCTTCAAACTTCTAATTTTGTTCTACTCTTAGGGAGATGATATTAGTATAGAAGAAAATTACAGCTTTCAAGTTGAAGTCTTCACTTCTCCCAAACATAAATGACGTAATCAATATTTAATTTTTGGCAATGTTGTGTGTCAAAGTCAAATGAAGCAGATAGCAAGACCAAGGACAGGTTTTGAATTGTCACCGGGAATACATTTCAGTGACAAGAGGTGTTCAAAGTATTTCACTTTGCAAGATCATAAGTCTCATTGATGTTCAGTTATTCCACTTCAATGTGCAATGTTTCTTTCAGTGTTATCTTTGATCATGAAGGTTCCTAAGGAACTTATTATAGTACTTATAAGATGAGAGCGTTTTTTTATTTTTTCCATCTTGTTACTTCATTCCTGACGCTCTTATATTCTGCACTACTTTACGTGCTGGTTATCTGTCCTTTCACTGGCTATCCATTTTTCAGTTACACCAAAAGCCTTGGTGGTGGTGTTATATCCTTACATATTTGTAGTTGTGATAGGTAGCTTTTAATTCCTATGAGAGAATAGTATATAGGCTCTATCTACAGCTAAAATGAGCAAGCAAGGCTACTTTTCAGTTTTTTCAGATTCTAGCAAAACAGTCCTGTCATCTCTCTACTGCTCCATCCACACCTTCTTTGTACCATATACATTTAATTCTGCTAGTTGATCGCTTTCTGAAACTTTATATAGCTGTCTCCTATTGAGAAATGTTATCTTTATTATTTGTATATTGACATTCACGTAAAGATGTAATATTCCTGATGTAAACCGTGTAAATGTTTCAGTTGCAGAGAATTTCTGAATTTAAAAAGCCTAGAAGAATACATTATTTAAGAAAAAAAAAAGGCTAATGAGAATTATTTCTTTGGCAAAAAATAATTTTTTATCTGAGTCATCTCTCATGCTTGCTACCAATGAAAAATGATGCTTTGAACACCTTCTGTCATAAACCATAGCTTTAATAGTGAATGTGCACATTAGTGCAAGGTTTGCGCACAGATGAGTTACAAATTAATACGAAATCTAATTATGATTTATGTTTTCATTCTGGTGGTGTTACTTTTTATATACAACTCCTATGTGAAGTAATGACAGTAGGAGATGGGAGCAGGTAGGCTAGGGAAGATGCTTTTGTATCAATTACTGTTACATTTTTTTCAGTAGAAGTATTCAGTATTTTTCAGTAGAAGAAAGATCAGGTTGTTTACCAGAAATACTTAATTAATAATAAGATTCTGTTGAGGATTTGGCAAACTGTAGTTCGGTCCATAGGATAGATATTTTGTGTACATGGAGTGCATTAAATTTAATATTTTTTATCTTGATTCCTACTAT